AGAGGCCAATCAGTTAGTGGACTGCTTGGCTAAAATGGCAGTTGACACTCAACAGCCAACTTACTTCTACTCTAACCACCAGCTGCCTAGTCAGGCAAAAGGCCATTTTTTGCTGGACAAAGATCAGGTTCCTTCCATAAGGAACAAATATGACAAGGCCAATTTTTTTGTTAGCTAGTTTGTAATCTTTTTGAGGGGGCGAACTATTTATAATCGCCTATGCCTCACTGTTTTTTGAAGGGTTTTCTCTACCCTTATGTTGTATCATCAAACTCTTTTTTTTGCTAATACAACACCCCCAGGTAATCTGGGAAAAATTCATAAAAAAAAGTATATACCATTTAACCACAAATTTTATTTATATATATATATATATATATATGTTCTCTTCTATTTGAACTACCATCACTATGACGATCGACGTAGTTAATTTTAACCACAAAATCTATCTACATATGTATTTTCCAGAAACAGTTTAATGTTAAATTGAAAGTTTTTTTTTTTTTTTTTTTTTTTTTTTTTTTTTTTTGCATTTAATCACATTCAGGTTCAGCTAACAAGAAATGCCAGCCATTCGACGAAAAGAAAGAGCATATTATCTTGAAACCCGTTCTCGTAAAAGACTATGAAATACTTGTATCATGATTTCTGGAAAGGAAAGAATCAAGGAAAAGATGTCTGAACATATCATGAAATTTGATGGAACCCCCTCAAAATAATTCTTACAAGTTAAATACGGACGGATCCTCCAGGGTTAACTTAATTAGGACAATTGGAATCATAAAGCTGATATGATATTGGCTTTACTAAAGGATACATGTACATATATATATATATATATATATATATATATATATATATATATATATATATATATATATATATATATACACACACACGTCTACAGCAGCAGAAAACGTTAGCTAGCACATTGAAGAAAGTTACAATTTCCTTAGGAGATCCATTTAACTCATGCAACTCTATTATGCAGTCAATTATTAGACAAAATATATTTCATTTTTGCCTAATAAAAAGAATTGAGAATATAGCAGAACAAAATTGTACAAATAACGAAGCCATGTTATGGTATGGCACCACGTTTCTGCAAACATATTACTATAAACTTTAGTTTGGAAAATCAAGGAATGAGCAAAGAAATTCCAATTCAGAAAATCAATGCATTTCAAATATAATAATCCTTGCAAAATCAAATCAATAATGTAGTTAATCAAATCTCAAGATCCAATTTGATTTATATCCAATAAACAAAAGAATATATCAAAATACAAAGACCTCATTTAAAAATCCATATCGTCCATGGCATCATCATATCCTTGATCATAGGCATCCATCTCTCCAACATCAGAAGCCATTTCACCTACCAACATACCACCAAGCAACCCTCCAGCCAAACCCAATCCTACTCCTGCTCCCATCCCTCCCAAATTGCTCTTTTTCTGTGGCTTCTGTACTTGTTGCACCTGTGGATATCCTCCTCCGTAACCTTGTTGTTGTTGTTGAGGAGGATATCCATATCCAGCGGGTGGATATCCAGCCGGTGAATATCCACCATTCTGACCGGCAGGAGGATACCCTGTTGGTTGTTGGCCGTTATAACCAGCAGGAGGATATCCTGCTGGTTGCTGACCGTTGTAACCAGCAGGAGGATATCCTGCTGGTTGTTGATACGCCATGTTCGACGTTCCATATCCCATGCCAGGTGGCACGTTATTAGACCTTGTCTGAGAATATGGATAAGCCGTGACGGGCACATCACCATGTTTGTTTTCGTTATACATACCATTAGGTTGATTGACATTTTTGAACATTGGCTCTGAAGGTTGTCCATATTTCTTTCCAAACTTGTACGCAAACTTAAGCGTTCCTCTAGGTTTACCAGAAATTGGTGTAAAAACTTGATACTCCACAATTCTCTCAGCACTGCCATCAGGGCCAGAGGCAGATTGACCAAAGATTTCATTTATAGGAATGGAGACAATGCCAATATCCTTATCGCCGAAAAGGCGATTGGATCTGAGGCGGAAATAGAGGGAAAGTCCAGGCTTTGTGAGGGAAGGCTCGTCTAATGTGAATTTCATGGGGTGATTCCATTTAGGACTTGTGCCACCTTTTTTGTCAATGAACGTTCTCTTTGTGTTCTTGGCATAACCTACGATTGAAACTTCGACATAAATATCCATTGTGGAGAAGTAATTGACATTTTTTATGCGTTCAGCGGAGATCACAGTGACATCAAACGAACGCCACTCCATTGTTGAATTCTTGATATTACGTCTAATATGTCAGTAGATTCAGGAAAGGGAGGGAATTGATTGTAAAAATCTTTTTCCCTTTTTTTTCTTGTGGTTTAGATGGATTTTTATGGGTGCAGAGTTTTAAGGGGAAAAATAAAATGTGAGAAGTGTATTAAATATTGAATAAGAGACACAGAAATAACCGCTTAAAGTGGAATAGAGAGGTTATTCCGCTTAAACTAAACTATGAGTTGGATTAATGGCAAATGGCTTCTATCTTTTTCTCCCCTCTTTTCAGCTGATGTTAGACATTTTCTTCACTTATTAGTGTATCCGTTTTTTAATTTATATCGTTTATTTTCATTTTGAGATTTTCTAGAAATATTTGATACAATGGTCATTGATATTATCTATACGATTTTTATAATTCTCAAGAACTTTAAAATTATTGAACTATTAAACTTTAAAATTCGATGTGAGTCCTTCATTCATTATTTAATATTTTCTTTCACTATTACTAATATAATCATAATTCAAATTAACATATTTGTTTACCCGTAAAACGGTACAGTTGAATTTGTTACGTGGTTTATAGACAAGCGAACTGATTTAATCCAAAAATGATAAATAAACGAGATTAAAAATAAGACTTAGCGGTTAAAATCAAAGGAAATGACAAGCTTGGCACCGAGAGCAATACCCGCGCGGACAGAAATAAGAATAATATAAAGAGCAAGTAAAGTTATATTATTTAGCTTGAGAATAGAATGTAGCATAAGTTTTACCAAGAATTTCCTCTCTTACAATGGTTGTTCAGTCTACTATTTATAGTTGTACCTACGAAAACAAGATCCTAGGATTAAGCCTCTCTTAAATGACAGTAAAGAGGGCCACTGATGAATATGTAACGGCAGGCCATGAATGCAAATATTTTCTACAACGGCTGCCCATTTAATGCCAGGGAATATTCTTCATTGAATGATATCCGATGGGAAGCATTTAATCTGCTCACGTCGATCATGTTCCCTTCGGGGTCTATCCAATGTCAATTGCAATTGTTGTTCCCGGTGCTGGTTATTACGCGATTTACTTTCTACCTGTCTTCGGATCACGTTACGATACGATCATTTAATGTAAACCAATTTTATCCCATACAGATAGTCCCCCTGCTTTTCGGTGGCACATTTTAGTGTCATCGAGAAGTTGGTGAAGATCCCTTTCTTGGCGGGAAATCTTCTGAAAACCTTCTAAAAAGTTCTGAAGTTTGATAGGACGCACGTCTTCTCGCATTTATTACCTCAAACACGTGTTGCCCCACGATTTAGTAATATTTTCACCGATTTTTTAGGTAATCATGACCATAATTTTTTCCGTCTATATCTATACTTATACTCATCATCTTACCTTTTTCACTTCTAAAGTTTTCATGAGTTCCTTATCTTCTTTGCACTTAACCTTCTTCTACTTTCATCCTTTTCCGATTTTTTTCAAAAGAAACTCCATTGTCTTTTTGCTATCATGGCTTCTTTTACTGAGTCTTTCAAAAACTCTGGCCTTCTCCTCGGTGGAGGCCTGAAGAGAAGCAAAGACAAAGAGGTGGATGTTGATGCTTATCCTCCCACGGTAGGCACCATCATCCCCAAACATCTGAGCACCATCAATGACTTCTAAGAGAAGTTTCCCTCCGTGCATCCACGAACTTGGGTTGTTAGCAGGTATCATTCCTCTATTCTCCCTTCCAGAATTCCTACTGTGAAGGAGGATTGTGATTGCCCAGATCCTAACATTATTTCTCCTGACCTGATAGAGCGGTTTACCTTTACCAAGGAAGGCTTTACGTATGTCTATACGTACCACTTCACCTTAGGTCCCTTTTCTTTGAGCGAAGGGCTTAACCCCGTGATCTTGGATTTCTACCATCGGTACCTGGTCTGTTTGGGACAAGTAGGCCCTATATGGCGAATGGTGGCTTGTCTATGCCGGATGTGCGTGGAGACGGGGAAAATCCTAACCCTGGCACATATGATGAACCTCTACACCCCCAAAATCTTCCGTGGGGGAGTAATAAATTTCACTAAATGTGGCAACCATGCCCTTCTTACCAGCATGGATGATGACAATGATTGTGGATGGATGGAGCGGTTTGTCATCATTGCTACTAGGGATACCATCCCGGCCACAACTCCATCATTTCCTGAATCATGGAACCATTCACGTAAGTTTGTAATTTATTCATCTCTTTCCCTCGTAAAAAGACTGTCTCCCGTCATTGTTGACCTCTTTGTTTCCGTTGTTTCAACTGTTCGGTGGACACCACCAAGGGTTAAAGGCCTGACCAATGGGTTCAGAAGATTCTGGATATTACAATGCAGAAACCCGTCGGTAGAAGGAGATGGCCTCCAAATATGGGTGGAAGGCCAAGAACCATGATAAACTGAGTCCTTCTGCTTTCTGCCTCTGTATGTACATAAGTAAATTTGCTAACCATATATTTTTGTTTGATTCAGGACTCCCGTAGGTCTATGTCACCTGCCCCGAGGTCAAGGTTTTGGCCGACCCCATGGAGGGCGCGAGACTGTTACAAAGTTCTCTCGCTCAAAGTGGTGCCCTCGGGTCTACTTTCAGTGGAGGCACTTCCTCTCGGAGTCCCCAGCCAGAGAACAAGCAACCAAAAAGGCGGCGTACTTCCTCGACTGAGGATAAGAATAAGAAAAGAAGGCCATAGCTGAGCTGGTGGCGGCCGCGATGGTCATTGAAGATGACAGAAAAGCTAGTGAAAAGGGGGTTTCCCTTCAAAGGAGACAACGATCTTCATCAGCTCAACCGGGTGCTCAACCGGGAGAGCTTAAAACCCTAACCGAAGGTGAGGTCCAAGCACTTTAGGGTGAAATTGAGATAATAGAGAATGTCGATTCTCGCTTTCCGACCCCTATTGCTGTTTCTAGTTTTTGGAGGTCAAAACCTGGCCTTTTCTGCCTTCGGTTGACGAGTAACCAATAATCAGCACTGCTCTTATTGCAGTTGCTTCTCAACCTACAACGCCAACAACTTCATGCCCCTCTACACCAGCTGCATCTTCGCCACCAGCATCTGTTGCATCTCCTTCGCCGGCCACAGACGCCCAAGAGGAGGGTGCTTCTCCTCCGAGTCCCCTGACCACAGGAATTTGGAGCACAATTACTCACCCCCTTCTCCAGATTCTCGAGGAAGGAGGAGTGTCACTCTCTCAGTTTCGAAGGGGTGCCATCTGCTGTCCAGGCCAATGGAGCTTGCCAACTATCTAAAGTTGTTGGCTTCAGAGAAGGATAAGAAGAAGATACACTCCCTTTCAGGGGATTGCATGTTGAATAACGCCATGCATAATGCGACAGCGGTACCGTACTTATTCTCTTACTATTTGTTTTTTACTTATCTGTTATAGCGGGGTTTCTAACTTTGTTATACATTTTGCAGGCCAACTTCCTTGCTTCCGAGGGCCTTCAGAGATTGCTCCTTGATAAATAAGAACTTATGTCCGAGCAGGATCAGTTGTTGGCTGAAAGGAATCAACTTGTTGCGCGCCTCCCTGTGCTAGAGGCAAAGGCTACTGAAGCGGCCGAACTTGAGGCTCGATTGCAGCAAAGTAAGTAGGAAGTGATGGCCCACAGCCAGGAAACCACTCAGCAAGATGATAAGGCTAGGTGGGTTGAGCTTCAAGATGTTGTTTTTATTGCTACCAAGTGCGAGTCTACCTCCGTTGAACAAGTAAATAACTTGGAGGCAGCCTTGAGCTCCAAAATCGAAGAGGCTGCTACCGCCGAGGAGAAAAGGGCTAGGATGGAAAAGAGGTTTAAGAAGATCATGGAGCAAAACCGGTTTCACATATCTACAATCCATGATATTGATCTTATCCTTGGGGCCACAAGATCCGAGTGGGATGGTACACAAGCTGAGGTTGACAGGCTTAAGTCAAAACTCCAATTCTAAGAAGATACCCCCGTATTTCAAATGAATATGCAATGTATCATATGAGGAGAAAGACATTGGAGGAAGACAAAGCGGGCATCGATGATATTGATGATTGCATCGCCAAGGCCCCAGCACTAGAGTTAACTGTTCGGGAACGCCTCCCTAATCAATCTGCCTCAAATGACTCTTCGAGCACCAGTTCCGAATATTCGGTAATCGAGGATGAAGCTAAAGAGATTGAAGATGAAGGCCCGGGACCTGAACTGGCGGATAATCCTCTTACTTCCCCTAGGGGAGATGCCTCTCTCCCCGAGTTCCGGCGGCGATAAAATTTAGATTTTTTCTTCTTTTCTTTTGTTTTTTCCTTTTGTATTTTTGCACTTATGTCATTCGGAATTTTGATAAATGAATAAGACTTTTGCTTAAGTATTGTTCAAAGTTTATTCTTTTTGCGTCGAATTAGATAAGGCTTCGGGTATATTTTCGTCCAATAGCATCTTGTTCCGGGCATAAACTTTTCCGGAACCAACCCTTTACTATGAAGGTTTCATAAGAGAGGGCCCTCTCATGTTTACGGTGCTCTTGAAGAGGACGTCTCTTGTTCATTTCGGCACAAGCATTTGAAGTTTTCTGTTAACTTTTAAATGATAAAATTAAATTAATCGTTTGGACCAGAAAAAAGATAAAAATAAAAGGACTTTATTTTATTCCTTCCATCTTTAAAAGTACATAAGCATTTGATTGCTGCCTCATTAAAAAATCTTGCTTGCTGCCTCATTAACTTTACCGATGACACTTCTCTCATATTATGCTTTCTGTTGCTGCCTCATTAAAAAACCATGCCAGAAAAAACCCGATTGGAACAAAAACTGGTCGAAGGGAAAAAGAATGCAGCACATACTTTCATTATTGATAGGAACTATCAGCGGTAATACCTTTTGAGGTGAGTCACGTTCCAATTGTTCGGCAATTTAACTCCATCTTGATTTTCCAGCTCGTATGATCCTTTACCGGTGACAGATGAAACCCGGTAAAGACCTTCCCACGTCGGACCCAGGTTCCCAACGTTGATTTCCCAAGTGTTCTGAGTCACTTTCCTCAAAACTAAGGCTCCTACTTTAAAGTAACGAAGATTGGCACTACGGTTATAGTATCTTTCTATCCTTTGCTTCTGAGCCACCATCCTTATGTGTGTCAAGTCCCTGCATTCATCGAGCAGTTCCAGCTTCACTGGCAATGCCTCATTTTCTAACCTCTTATAGTATCTTTCCATCCTTTGCATCTGAGCCACCATCCCATAGCATGCCCGGTAACTCTTCGGACCACTTGCCTTTAGCTGTTTCTAACCTCTTTTTGATGTTTTGGATAATCACCTTATTGGTCGACTCCGCATGTCCATTAGCACTCGGATGGTATGGCGAGGATGTAATCCTTCTGATTTTCAGTTTTTCAATATATTTTGTGACTTTGGAGCCTATGAATTGCGGTTCGTTATTCCAATCAATTTCCTTCGCTATTCCAAATCGGCAGATCATGTGTTCCCACAGGAAGTGATCTTACCGATATTTTGGTAAGGACCTGCTTCAACCTATTTAGTGAATCAATCGGTTAAAATTAAAAGGAATCTTACCTTTTCGGAGCCTAGTGGAAGTGGGCCAACTATATCCATCCCCCATTTTATGAATGACCATGAGGATAGTACCGAATAAGAGTTTCGCTGGTTGGTGCACCACCAGTGCATAGCACTGACACTTGTCGCATTTCTAGACGAACACCTTTGCGTCTTGCTTCATCTGGGGCCAGTATTATCCTCCCCTAACTAGCTTTAGCACCAACGAATCTGCACGGTAATGGTTCCCGCAAATTCCTTCAGGGACCTCTATCATCACGTAATCCACCTCCGAGGCTCTTAAACATCGGGCAAATGGTCCTTGGTACGATCTCCTATATAATTGTCCAGTCATGAGGATATAGCGATCCTCTTTGGTGCGTAATGCCCGGGACGCCTCGGGTCTTCGGGCAACTTGCCATGCCGAAGATACTCAATGAACTCATTCCTCCATTCTCAAACTAGGTTGGTTGTATTTTTCTCACAATAGTCATCCACATCTAATACCGAATGCAGAAGTTGAATGACAGTACCGGAGTCGGATCCTTTCATCTCTGTAGACGACCCCAAATTAGCAAATACATCTACTTCTACATTCTCTTCTTTTGGAATGCGTGTGATTGACCATTCCCTTAATCGTGCAAGCAATGCCTGGACTTTATTCACATACTGGTTTATTACCAGCTGGGAATCACATTTGATCTCTATTACCTCAGAGCCAAGTCCCCGGGCCAGTTTGAGTCGCAACCAAAGCCTCATACTCGGCTTTATTGTTAGTTAACGGAACAGTTTTTATGGCCTGCCTCAGGATTTCCCCCGAAGGCATGATTAGGACCACCCCGAGCCTGGACCCTTTCACATTGCAAGCTCCGTCCGTGAACAAGGTCCAAACTCCTGATGTCATTTCCGATACCAACACGTTTCATTAGCAGCCAGGGGAAATAATCCAGGACGGAAATCGGCCACAAAGTCGGCCAAAACTTGTGATTTTATCGCATTCCTAGGCTTGTATTCAATATCGAACTCACTAATTTCGACTGCCCATTTGGCCAACCGGCCTGACAACTCAGGCTTATGAAGAACATTCCGCAAGGGGAAGGTTGTCACAACCAATGTTTCAAAAGGCGGGGGCATGAGGCGAGGCGTTCTACCTCTGACGAGGCGAGGTGTAAGCCCTGAGACATGGGGCATAAGTCCCGTAGATCTTTAAATTTTATAAATTTTAAGGATTATAAGATAGTATAAAATAAATATAAAAATTACATTAAAATCACAAAATTATAACAAATTGTCTATTTAAAGTGTTTATGAATTATAATTCAACTATAAATAATACGAAAAGCATGACATATATCATAATATGCAAATTAGTTGCAACATCGTTACAACTCAAACATCAAAAGTAATGTATTCGATACGAAATCTTATACATATCTCTTAAGGAGTATTGAATCTTGAAAGAATTTCGATATTATAATTTGATATTTTTTTTAAAAAAAAGTACTCCTTTTATTTAATATGCTTTTTATTTAAAAGAGAATTTATATAAAAACATAATTCACAATTTAAATATGATTCTCTAGCATCATTTATTTTTAACTTTCAACAACTTAATAAATTGACAAATAATTCACCATACAATAACATATAACTAATTATTTTTAAATAGTTACTAGCTAATACTGAGTTATTAAATTAATAAGTATTTTATCTCGTAAACGTGAAAAAAATAATTTTATAGAAAGATAATTATAAAATAATTATGGACTATTATATAATAAAGAATAAAAGTTAATAAATAAATACTTTTTAAATGAAAGATTTATTTAATATTTACTATCATAGCAGTCTTAATGAATAACGTGTAATAATTTTTATTTTAATTATGACATAAAATACTCTCAACTTAATAATTTATGATTAAAAAGAAGTAATTTTGAATAGTCAACGATTTATTAAAAAATTTTGAAGATTTACAAGGTTAGTTACATACAATTGCATAAAGTTCTATTAGGCGAGCCCAGTACACTGGCCGTTGGGCGTGTCCGAGGCGTAAGCCCCGACGGCCAAGGCGTAAGTCTCATGGAACTAAGCCCCACACATAAGCCCAGGGGCGAACCTCGGGCGAGTCCCAATTGTACCTTTTAAAACAGATCAACTATACACATGTGATGTGATACTTAAATCAAATTCCAGGATTTCTTTTTGTTTTTACATGAAAATTAACTTTAATTAGCAATTTTTCTTTTCCATGCAATAGAGGTAGCTTGAACTGAATTATAAACCCAACTGCAAGTAAGTACTATGGTTTGATAGTTAATGTTGAATCTACTCCTATTAAGGTTACATATTCCCTTGGGCTTGAAGGAAGGAATAAATTTTAACTTGCTAACCTCGTTCAATATGCTTTACTTTTAGCTTGTAGCTGTAAGTAATGATTTCTAATTAAACTTTTTGCTTTTCTTATTTTCGAGAAGAAAAGGTAACGAGTACTCGACAATCTAATTAAGAAAGAATTCTGTGGATGCAAAATTTCAGGAATTCGGCCTTGAAAATGTCTAGCATTATGTTCTTTCATATTTTCTTCTGATGATTTCCTCAAAACCCCTAAAAGAAAACTTTAAAATAAAAAAAATCCAAGAGACAGAATGGAAGCGACAAATTTTCCATTACTCCACCCATTATTAACGCTGAGAAACTGTGTAAGATACAACGTTCTTCTTGTTTATTGCGCAGGAGTGGACTCAATTACATGCATGAACATTTTAAAAAATTTTAAAAAATAAAAAACATTAAGCAAAAGCAGAAGCTTCTCGTCTCAAATCTCTGTAGAATCTTGAAATGAATTCATCAGCTTTCTCATCTACGTGACTGTTACCCTCAACATCTCTAAGAGGAAACGGCGAATCAGTAACCCTTAATTGCCTCACCGTAGGAGTTCTCCCAAATCCAGGCAAAGCAGGTGACGCCGTTTCACTCTGAATCATCTCCAAGGCCTTCAACACAGCAGCATTAACCATTAAAACGTCGTCGTCAGTGGCAGGTGCATGGTGATGATTATGCTTATTGCGTTTGTTGAGGTTGAAGGGGAGGTGAAAAGCAGGGCTGTTACTGCAGCTGAATTCGTAGTAGTCTTTGGAAGATGAGGTGGAGGAAGGACATTGGTGGCCATAGGTATTATTATCATGGTGGAACATGAGGTTTTGAATGGCGGCTTTACCTGCAATTTTGCCACGCTTCATTAATAAGTTGAGATCAAACATTAGTTTCCTCTTTGATAACCCTTTCCTCAGCATGAAAAAAGCCACTCGGACTATTTTCCAGAACTTTTTTGCCATTACTGGTACATTTTGATCCATCTCTCTGTATATAGTAGTATATTTCAGGTGCAGACTTCTTTTTGGTTTGTGGATTTTTATTCCTTCACTTAAGAAGGAGAGAAAATTGATGAAAGAGAGCTTTTGAGGAGAATTGGTAGAGATGTGAGTTAATGTGGAGGCAAATGAAGTGGTATATATATAGGGGCTTCATGTAAAGGAAGAGGATGCAGTAAAGTATTTGTACAGGGTCGAGTTTGACCAACCCCGTCCTCAAAAGGGACACGACCTGTCAAGTGGACAAAGGTCGGGTCGAAGGGACGACCATGTAATCACGTCGGCCCCTCTGTAACGTGCACTTTATCTTTAGTTTATATATTTTATCTTTATATCGTAAATAGAAGAAAAGGGGAAATCCCTCCGCTATATAAGGGGGGTTCCCAACTGTGTAAAAGGAGGATTTTTTCGATCAAGAACATTGCTACTTACTCTCTCTATCTCTCTGTCTCAATTTCTATCTCTTTCTTTCTCTGAAAAACGGATACCTCGGATCTTTGTAACATTATCACGCAACTTTGTCCTTTAACTGCTCCGAATAACCAAACCACAAAGGATTACTCATACTCTAGTGTCAATTATCTTTGATTACGATTTACCTCTTCTCCATATATTTGATTGATTTGCTTAAACACTGTTCGTTAACTTTTTAAGCCAAACAATTTTGCGCCGTCTGTGGGGATTTCGATAATCAAAGTCATAGTTCACATCTAGAGTATCAGAAACAACGATCATTATCCCCTAAAAAAACTCAGTAGAACCAGAAATGGCAGACAGAGAAGCTAAGCTAAAGATGATAGCCGATGTCTCAACCAACCTGATGGGTCCCCTCAACGAGGCCAATAGAGAAGATGCTTCAAACGCAACACCGAGCAATCTTCTGGAGGAAAATGTATCGCCCTCCTCACTCGAAGATCTAACGATCTTGCATGAGAAGGGGACTTCGACACCCACAGTAAAGGAAACACCCCCAGTAGTCAAAAAATTAATGGAGGAGTGGCTGAAAAACACCCTGAGCGGCCTGCTCGAGAAACCATCTCCGGGAAACCCCAGCGATTCGCCAGCGGCAGCGACTACTGCAGCCGCCGGCAAACCAGGTGCTATGCGAACGAGCCGCGCTCATACAGACATCATCGTAAGCAACGATGCGCTCGCAACCATCCTAAGAAAAATGGAAGAAATGGAGAATGAGAATAAGGCACTCCGTGACCAAATGAAAGAGCACCAGGAAAGGGTAGACAAAATACCCGGTGCACCAAAATTACTGCCGAAACGCGACGTAGGATGTTTCGCCGAGCAACCATACAGCGAGGAAGCCGCCCCTCATCCGATCCCAAAAACCTTCAAGATGCCCCCATATTTGAGAATATATGATGGGACCACGGACCCAGAAGATCATCTGATCCACTACGTAACCGTTGTGAAAGGAAATGTCTTGTCAAAGGAGCAGGTGTCGTCTGTGCTGCTGAAAAAGTTCGGAGAAACCCTGACCGGAGGGGTACTAACATGGTATTCGCAACTGCC